CGGAGACTGGCGGGGGGTGTGTGTGTGTGTGCCTGTACGTGTGTGTGTGTGTGGGGGGGGGTCAGCCCCAGGTGAAGGCAACTCCGGGCTCAACGGTTCCCCCCTTCCCGGTGTTGAGAATCTCCTGGTCCTTCCTCATCTGCCCTTTTTGCCTCTCTGCTGAAGCGTTCTGTGGGGATCCTGAAGCTTGCACAGTTTCATGCCATTGCAGTCTGCGGTTCAGAAGGCATTGCCTCTGGCAGGAGCGTCTGGCTTGTTCTCCTGTCTTGGACATCCATTTTATTTTATTTATTTATTTTTGCATCCTTCAGAAGAGACACGAAAGAGGAGACGAGGGACGGAGCGTGGGCGCCCTTGGGTGGGCAAAGAGGGGGCACCTCCTGGCAGACCTGGGTCTGTTTTGCCCAAATGTCCAGATCCCTAAAGCCAAGCGCTAGGCCTTGCCAGAGGAACACCACACCCCCCCCCGTGAAATCAACAAGATTCATTTGTTAATAGCTGCCAAAGAGGTGTAGTCTTAATTCCCATCTCAGCCTTGTTTGACTAACCCAGTTTGGGTGGCTCTGACTGGCATCATCATCATCTCACCGTAATTCTGGGCTGGATTCACGCTTGGAGAGCCTGGGGATTTGAAAGCAGGCGCCGGCCTTCGGTTGGACCCCTAACCTTGCCCGGGCCCATCATCCCTCACCTAATATCTCTGGCACAAGCTGGCAGCCGCACCTCACTGGAATTTCAGCCGGGGGTCCCCCCACTCCCAGGGGTGGGGGGGCTGGCAATGGCTTGAACCGTCTAGGTGTGGCGCCGGACCTCTGACTTTGGCCGGGACCCCCTCCTCGCAGGCCCTACGCAAGTTGGCTTCATTGGGTTCTACTCCGGTGAAAAATGGCCTCGAACTCTGTCTCTGGGGGGGGTCGAGGTGCCTTCTGCGTCGTGCGGATGCCCGACTGGTCCGGGAATTTTGGACCCGATTTCTCTGGCCGTGGAGACCGCCATGCAGAGATCCTCCCGTGGGCGCCCCGAGGAGGGCCGTGGGTGGTTTTGCACCTGCAGCCGAACAGCGATGGGGTTTTTCGCTCCCAGAGTTGCTTTCTGGCTCCTTCGGCCCCGTATTTCACCCACCAAATCCTCCTTCAACCCTGGACAATCCTTTCAAGCCAAGGCCTGGCCTCTCTCCCACCGCCCTCGCCTTTGCGACCTTATAAACCTCTCAGCCCTTGGCTTGCGCCTGCTCCCCTCTTCCTGATTCCCCCCCCGCCAGGAGGAGACCCTCTCGAATTTCGAATGGGGCATTCACCCCCTTGTCTCCTTGCTCGCCCCCCCCTCGCCTGCAACCTTGTGGGCTTTTTTTGTTCCTGTGCGGCTTCGAAGGTCAACTCTTTTGCTCTCTGCTGGGGGGGGAAGCTTGTTCTATTCCCCCCCCCCCCGTGCCTGCTTGCCTTTTAGGTGCCTTTTCCTCCCTGCCCAAACCAAGAGGTGTAATTACAGCAGGAGGGGAGGGGGGTAGAGGAAGGGTTTAATCAAAGAACTCTTTGCTTAATTGGGCTGGGACCTTTCCTGGCTCTGGAGATGAACCTGGTCTCTCGGAGGCTTGACTTGGTGTGTCTGTGTGCGTGTGCGCATATGCGCGCACGGAGGATCCGGCCTCATTGAGTTTTAATGAAGGGGGAGGTTCCGTTTCAGACATCTGGATTTTTTAATCTGATCCATGACGGGATAAGTTGCCCTCCCTTTTACCTTTGGAGAGACAGGCGGTCTGGAGCCTCAGTTTCCCCCACGCGCTGTGATCCTCAGGCCTGGAGGGAAGCTCGGGAGGCAGGCTCCATGAGCTGGCGTAGCTACTCTGCCTACGCCTAGAGGCACTCCGGTTATAATCACTTTAGATGCTTCCCTGGCTGTTTCGTTTCATTCGCCCAGGCCATTCGCGCGTGCGAATTTGCAGTTGATCTGTGCATTTTCGGTGTGCTTTTTAGAAAATTGACACCTGCCGCATGGAAACCTGTGCATACTCTGAAAGACTTGGTTTCACAAGAGCGGGGGATTTGAACCCAGGGCTCGAGTCTTTGCTCATCACTCTGTCCATGACACTACACTGGGTCCTGGCTCATTTTAGGAGAGTGTCTGTAAACATGCCTCTTTGTGCCCTTATTTTGCCCTCAGCTGTACCAGACAGTAAACCCCGGGTCATATTAAGGGCCAGCCCTCAGAAAGATAAATATTGGATGATTGCTTGTCGAAATGGAAAATTGATGGAGATCTATTTCTGGTTTTTGGCCATGGGCCTCTAATACAGCAGAGAGGTGAATCCCATTTTCATGCGCTGAGCAAATGCAGCTGTCATGAGATTTAAACTTGGAACTGTCTTTGATCGGTGCTTTTCCTCTGCTGATTAAAAAAAAAAATCTGGGAAAAAGTGGAATATGTGATCTCAAATCCTTCTGCGGGTAATTACCGCTGACCTGTGCTCTCGCCCCCTTAGAGGAGTGTTATTTATTAAAAGTATTTCCAGCCGCTCCTGGATCTTTTGAACTTATACGACGCTCGCCTTGAAATTGGGAATTGTAGTGCGCAAACCTTCCCAGAGTCAAGCTCCGTGAAGACAAAGCATATAAATATTTTAAATGAAATAAATACACGTATACGCAACACCTCTGGCGATTCATCACATCTTTAGCCTTGGTTTTCCTGCTTCCTTAATGAAAATGGCCCGCCTATCAGGGTGGCTTTCGGGGACGGGGGAGGAAGTGCTGGCTGGAACCGTCTTGCTAAATGCTATATAATAATAATCATCATAAAACAGCAGAGCTGGAAGGGATCCTCTGGATCATTACGTCCAGCCCCTATCAAGGAGGCACAGCGAGGAATTGATCTCCCCAAACTCTTCAACATCATCATCATAACCTTAAAACAGCAGAGCTGGAAGGGATCCTCTGGATCATTACGTCCAGCCCCTATCAAGGAGGCACAGCGAGGAATTGATCTCCCCAAACTCTTCAAGCCAGATGTTTAAACCGCTGAGCTATATCTCTTATAAGGCTCAGAAATGGAGGCTCACCCATGTCAATGCCAGGAGCCTATATATATAATAATCCATCTATCCGTCTTGTCTATCCTTACCTGTAGAAATCTAGCTTGTGGAATGAAAGCTACCTTTCTAGGTGCAGGGCTTTACAAAACAAACCACTCTGGGAAGGACCTTTTTAAAGGCCACCCCCCAGAGCTTGTTTTCGGGTCTGGTCCCTGCACCTCATTGGGTGGTCTCGGCCATCATCATCCTTTGGTTTCCTAGTTGAGGGTGGTTTCCGTGGCAGGCATTTTAGGGCCATGAGATCAGTGGAGATGCATCTGTTGGGCGGCTGTCATGGCCAATTCTTAGCCCTGCACATGGGAGGGTTGGGGGTTTCTCTCTCTCTCACTCCCCCCCCTTCCCCTGTGCGACATCCCCCCCCCGCCTTCCTGGGTCCGATGATCTGGAGATAATGAGGCGGCCACCAGGCGGTCAAGTGTTTTCGTTTGCTCCGACCCGACCGGCTCTGTGTAACCAGGGCAGTTGGACGAAAGGGTGTGTGTGTGGGGGGATTTGGTTTCAACAGGGGTAGCGCCACCCCTGCGTGGGAGACCGACCTCGGGAGCTGCAGTGGGTCTCTTGCGGTTGGTCCTGGGGGGGGGGATCTGCACACAACAGGTCCACGAGATGGACAGAAGGGCAAGGGGAGCTGGAGGGAGAAAAGGAGGGGAGGGCCTCGGCTCCCCCCTCGGTCTGGCAAACAGCTCTGTGTTTTCATCTTGGGCATGGAGATGATGGGTTGCCTTGGACTCTGGAATGCAGCTTCGCTTTATTCCTCCCGGGGCGGGTGTTTGGGTGGGTTAAAAAAATCTGCCCACCTTCCCGCGCTCCGGAATGTAATTTTTTGTTTTTAGCATCGGGATTTTCTAATTTGCAAAAAGCACCATCCTGCCGATCTGCAAAAT